CTTTTCATAGTTATTCCCAAATAAGAAAAAAAAACTAATATTAATTTGCAATAATGAGCTGCAAATTAAAATATGAAGAACTGCAAAAGTGAAAATCAAAACGGTCTAAAGGGACAACACATCAACAAACTTCAAGTTGCAGACAACAACATAAGAAATATAAACTACAACAACATCAACAAAATAGTGGCAGCAACAACCAAATAAAAGTATACAAATAACCATATCCAAATGCAATTGTCAACAACAAACTGCAAAATGCAAACGATACAATGACAATAAGTTATTTTCAACAAGTATTTTGTTATGATGTATGAAACCATTTGTTAAGACTCAAACTGCAAAATATTACAGTAAAGTGCAACTTGTACTATGATAGCAACAAAGTCGAAATGAATTATAATATAAAAGTAAAAAACGCATCATATAAGCAAAATCCAAAATAAACAGCAAAGTGCAAATTATACTATGCTAAAAACAAAAAAAAAAATCCAAACAAAAATCAATAAAATGTTGCAATCGACATCAAAAAATTATGTAACAAAAAACAGCAAAATCAAAAGCAAGAAACCAATAATTTAAAAAAAAAAACAGGTATGGTAACCGGGGTCGAAGAATCAAAGTGCAAAATACACATAAAAACGGCAAAATAAACATAAAACAACAAAATAAAAAAACAAACAAAAAAAATTCTTTCCGGAAAACAAAGTTTATTACATGGGATCGTAGGCTCCAAATCTCTATCTTTCACTTCATTCATAAAAAAACCCATTGTATTTCGTCAATGAATCGCGATTTAAAAAAAATACAAAAGAATGCAATGTATAGCAAATTACCTGTACGTTTTCAATTTTGCGTCATCTTCTCGGTATCCATATCTACAGACTCTCCATCGATCTCAGCAATAAGTGGCTATGATTACAGAGTTTGGGTTGAACGAAAGGGGGAGAGTTTTTGCATGTTTCAATTGACGAGATTTGCAGATTTTTTCCTTCGATGGCGGTTTGAAGATTTACAACTTCTTCGTCGATCTGAGAATTAGGGCTATTGTGTGTGTTGAAAGAAACGAGAGGTGATTTTTTGCAGTTTCTCCCTTTCGATGGCGTGTGAAGATATACAACCCTTTCTGTCGATTTGAGAATTATGGCTATATGGTGCATTGAAAGAAACGAGAGGTGAGGTTTTGCAGTTTCAATCTCACGATTTGAGATTTGTTTGCCTATTTTTTAGCTAAAAAACTGATTTGCTGGATAATTATATTTAAAAGGGAATTTTCCTATTTTGCTGCAAAGGGCAAATCAGCCAAAAATATTAGTAGGGGGGTTTAGAAAAATAGGACTTATGACTTGGACTAGGACCTATATAATCTTAGAGTGGAGGGTGTATAAAAAATTACCCCTATATATATATGTCTATATATATATGTCTTGGGAGGTGGGGGCCCACATTTTCCCCCTTTTCTATTTTCTTTCTCGTTTTCTTCCAGCCCGTTTAATATCAAAACGGCGCCGTTGTTTTCTTTTCCGTCAATCCACAGCGGCCGTTCTTTTCTTTTTGTTTAATTCTTCAAGCAGCTCGATTCCAAAATTCCTCCGCGTGGCCCCGTTTCCTTAATTTCTTTTCGCTTTTCTTTCTTTTTCCTCTCACCTCTATCTCCGGCGCCTCCTCTCTCAAAAGCTTTGCATTACTGCCCTGCGATAGCCAACCACGAAAGGCAATCGAGAGGGCCTCGCCGCTTCCAGCGTCGGCGAGCATAAACGCCGCCGCCTCTGCCGCCTACACGAACGACAACCTTGTTTATATTGCTTGGCTCTGCTTTTGTTTTATTCGCTGCATGTGGGTGTGTTCTATTTTTGTCTTCAATTTCTTGGTTCCTTGGTGATTTGGCATTTAACAAGTAATTAGGCTTTGTTTGTTATATACAATTAATTAAGTTTCTGTACATTTTGCGAAGTGCATTTAGAGCTATCATCTTCCTTTTAATTTTACACATCCATTGTGTGGTTTTAAGTTTACACGCTCTGTTTTGCGGTACCTTCTGTGAATCATAAGTTTTTGGTGCCTAAAAGAATATGGACATATATATTTGTGTCATTTAATTGCTATTTTCTATGCTTCATTTTCTATTTATTTTTTAGTTCCTGTTTTAAATACATTATTTCCTTGTTGTTTTGCTATTTCTTGTATATCAGATTGCAAAAAGTTCTTCAAGGTATTCACTGAATTAAGTAGGGCTGGGCAAAAATTACCAAATACCGATTACCACGGTATACCTACCACAAATTACCGAATAAATACCGAACTATCGGTTACCACTACATTATTGCAAAATATATATATTTTTTTTTATTTCTCTTACTTAAACCATCAAACTTTTTTGCTCATTACAAGTTTCTAAAATTTTTCTATAGATATCTTAGTAAGCATTAGTTAATTAAAGCAACATATGCTACTACGGTTGTATAATGTATATTCATGTAGATTGATTGATCGATCACCATATTCATTTGCTTAATTTGTTTTATTTATACATTTATTTAGTATTCATCTTAATTATGGTATCATCCGAGTTCATCAAAAAAATGATGTACGGTAGATTACCACGTACCGATCATACCGTACCGAAACTTACGGTATACCGAATAACGGTATACCGCAATTATTGGTACGGTAATGGTATAGAATTTTTCAATACCGAAAGATACGGTAGGTACATGGTATTGAACAAAATATTCGGTAACCGTACCGAAACCACCCCTAGAATTAAGCATCAATAACAGGTATATTATTTCTTTTCTAATTTTTTTTTCAATTTTTGTTCATAAATTGAACTTTTTTTAAAAATTGGTTCTCTTTTGGGATTTTTGTCCTGGTTTTTAGGCTCTGTAACAACCAGCAACGGATCCTTAATTGTTTGATTGATTCTTGATGTTCAATTTTTCTTTATGTATTAGATTAGTTTCCGGTGAACTTTGTTGATCGTTTTGTTTTGCCATCTTACTGAATCCTTAAGTATTCGCCGTAGCTGGGATTGAATTGAGGATGACGGAATAAACTGGAAAGGAAATAACTTAAGTCATTCTGTAAACAATGAAGGATTGACATTACTGATTCGTCCAACAAAATCAGGTAAAGAATCACACAATATAATTTTGTGCTGAAACTGTTATTTTAGTCTTTCATGCAAGATCGAAAAAAAATTTCATTTATTTTCTTCTTTTATTTCTTTGTTTTGGTTGGTCTATGCACTATGGGAGTTATTGGTTTATTCTTTTGAGTTTTTTGGTCGGTAATATTGCCACAGATAGGCTGGTTCTTTTGACTCTTAAATTTGTGATTTTTAGTTGTAATTGCCAACGGCATGAAGTATAAGTTGTTGTCCAAACGTGGAAAACACTATAATAATTCGTCGAATACTTGTACTCTTGGTTTGATTGAAAACGTAGTAATCGGACAACCAAACCTTCACTAATGCCTATAGCATTGCATAAAGTGGATCACGAGTCCAGGATTAGAGAGTCCAACAACAATATTAGAAGGGTTAGTGATCTCTATTATGATCTATCAACTTCTTCGACTAAATCAAGGGATTTTTCTGCATACAATGGCATGTAATATTTCAAATATGTTAGTTTAAAGTCATATTTTACATGTGATGGTTGAAACAGGTTGCGACAAATTTTGTGTTTAGCTTCATGCGAATAGAATTATAGCAAAATAACCCTGTAATTTTAGACTACATTGAATGGGCACCAACACCGCGCTTTGCGCGGTGCTCCCAACACTAGTATATATATATATATATATATATATATATATATGTCTTGGGAGGTGGGGGCCCACATTTTCCCCCTTTTCTATTTTCTTTCTTCTTTTCTTATAGCCCTTTTACTATCCAAACGGCGCCGTTCCTTTCTCTCCCTCCAATCACAAGCCAGCATTCTTTTCTTTTTGTTGAATTCTGGAAGCAGCTCGATTCCGAAAATCCTCGGTGTGGCCCCGTTTACTCAATTTCTTTTCGCTTTTCTTTTTCTTTTTTCCATTCTCCAATGGGGAGGCGGCGTTGATGCTCGCCGACGCTGGATGCAGCGAGCCCCTCTCGTGGTCGGCTATCGCAGGGCGGTAGTGCATGAGCTTTTGAGAGAGGCGGCGCCGGAGATCGAGGTGAGAGGAGAAGTCGGCCCAGCCCGTAGGTGAAGATCGCCATCTCTCATATGAAAAACAATTTAATTAAATAAAATTAAATCTGAGCTCGTTTTTTCTGTAACGCCCCTCCGCCTCATTTTCGCTCTCAATTCCGAGCAACGGCGGCACTGATTCAAGGTTAGTTCATATATTCATTGTTAATGAGTATCGAATTTTTGTTTTATCGTATTCTTTTAGCTTTTTTTGGAATTGAAAAGGGATACCGTTTAGTTATTTTTAATCAAAGTTGGATTTTTTTATCCTAATTGTGGAATTGATCCCAAAAATGGTATGTGCATTAGGTTGGGCCGCCATTCTTTTCTTTTTGTTTAATTCTGGAAGCAGCTCTGCAGAACATCCTACCTGAGTTAATGGAGGCGTGGCGGCGGCTGCCGTCGGAGGAGGCAACAGAGTTGGTGGACATTCGGCTGGGAAACAGAGGTCGACATATTTGCCGGAGTGGCTTGCCCCTTCTCTATGCCCACCAAGTCAACAAAATAATTTTCCATACTAGGCGATCTCTGGCTCTTGGTCATAAATTTAAATTTCGAATATCACGAACTATCGATTAGTAAGATTAATATAAATGGGTATGAAACAATCATAGTACCCACTTTTCTGCAGTTTTTTTGGCTTTTGTTTGGCCGTAGATATTTTTATATTTGTCTGATTTTTCCCTCTTATGTTTGAATATTTTTTTTCTGAAAATTCGCTTTGGTTGATTTTGTTTCGATGCCTTTTTTTCTATAAACTTAGTTTGTTGTACTTGACAATTTGACTGCATGTTCCTCTTTTACATTGTATTCACATCTGCTAATCACTATGCATAGGAAGTCAGATGTGTATAATGTCATTAAGCTTAAGTAATTTTTAGGTGAACACGTGCAACTATAATATATATGTGAAGCATTCCTTTCTATGATCCGACTGTCTCTTCATTTTATGCATTTCGCCACCTGATATTTATTTTCAGGCTAAACTTTCTACCACAATTTCTCTTTTCCACAGGATTTACAAGTCAAAGCTTCTCCGTCAGTTCAAACCACACCACCGATAAACAGCGATCCTGCAATTATTCAGGCAAGTAGTACCACAACTGTTATTTTTTTAATTCAATACTGAATATAACGAGAGTATGATCGTAGTTACAAGTTTATGTTAATTAATTTGGGATTTTTATTGAACTTTTGAAATGCACACTGTAAATTATATTAGGATGTTCTGTTTGAAATGTAGATTGTAAATTAAAATAGGTGTTTTTGTTTTGTACAGATTGCAACTCCAATATATTAGGGACCGAATTTGATGCTTTTGTTCAACTTCAACTACATATTCAGTGGAGTGTCGTCACTCGTGTAATTATTCCATCTAAATTATGAAATATTATTGTCGTTTAATGTTCCTTATCATTAGTTCATCACCAATGTCTTTTTTTTTTTATTTTTTTTTTTGTTAATTATTATTATTATATAATAATGAAGCTACGGCAGTGAAGGGCCGTTGAGGCCGACTGGTGAAATGGACCAGCCACTACTTTGCTCAGATATATGTTCATGGACTACCTGAAAACGCTACTCTTCTTGTGGCATAATGCTCCCATGGATCGTGTTCGGGGAGTTTTTGAGATTATTTTGAGGTACAGCGTGATCCGAAGGCTCATTTTTTGCTATGTTTCTATTCGTTGCTCACTCTTTTATCGTCTTTTGTATAAGGCATGACTTAGTATCTTCGGTAACAAATATTTCATTCTTTATGGAACGATCGTTTATGTTGCCTACGTTACAAATGGGAATAATATAGGTTGTGAAAAAATTGTGTTAATCGATTTATGTCCACTTGATTTAGGTGCATATGCATCACTAACTCCGTCGAAATAACCAATTCAAATTCATATAAATACATCTGCCAACAAAAAAAATATTGAATTGTGCGAACATGTCAAACGGGGCACCGGCACCGCGCCTTGCGCGGTGCTGCATACCTAGTATATATATATATATATATATATATATATATATATATATATATATATATATATATATTAGGAATTTAAATCTTCTTACAAATTGGGAAAGTAGGGCAAAGACAGAATTCGAAACTCACTCTAATAAAATTCGAGTTCACCAAAACAGTCAGGCTCGGCTCGTTTATACCACTATTCTTGCCGTAATGCTCTCCTTTTAAATTAGTAAAATATTTTGGATACCGTTGTAATTTATAACACGATACCTCTTGAATCCTTTTTAGATTTTTTTTACCTTTTGTTATTTTTTTAAAACGCAAGAAAATTAAAAGTAAGGTTGATTGACGGCCTGACTTAAATGCAATCGTATCTCCACTTCAGTTCCAAAAAAACGCCAACCACATGTCTTTTGACGAAAATACCCTCCCTTATATTCAAAAGACATGTGGGGTTCCCCCATTTGTTCTTCCCACTCGCTTCTCTCTCCACAACGGCTCCCCACCCATGACTTCTCAATACTTCCGACTATTTCTCCCTCACCAAAACAGAACCAAAATCACTTTCTCTTCCCAAAAAATATAAGCAAATCATCTCCGAGGCTTCCATTTCCGCAACTATTTTGCATTTTAAAGACGTTGCCGTTGAAACAATTTTCCTAACGACGCACAAAGTTACTATTAGACACTGAAGCACTAGTAGAAAAATGAATTTTTACTACGACCATTAACCGTAGTAAAATGTATCAAATTCGTAGTAAAAAGGCGTTTGCTACGAATTTCCCTCATAGCATATACGGGCGTGACAAAAGCTTTGCTACGGTAAATGGCCGTAGCAAATACTAGAGTAAATCCTAGCATTTACTACGACTCCAAGATTGTCCCGTAACAAGAGATACCTTTTGTAACGACTTTTTACCGCAGCATAAAAAATCGTAGTAAAAAGTCATTTTTCTACTAGTGACACTAGTAGAAATTTTGCTTAATACTACGAAGTATTCATACTCTGAGTTTCATTTCTAACTGCAATTTTTGCACCCACGGTAATATATACTAGGTTTTTTTCCTGTGGTATTCGTGATTGAAACACTAATATTATTAGGGTTGTCGGTAAAATTGTTGTGCTAAATGATTTTCTGGTATGATAATGTGATTTTGTTTTTGTTTGTATTTCAAAAATTCCAAACAGATCCAAAAATATCCCAAAAATAAATCCGAAAACGAATAATTCCACAAAAAAATACAATTTTCCGCAATTTCCGGTAAAAAAATCTTAATCGAAACCAATTATTCAGTTCCGAAAAAAAAATCAAAATTTTTCCGAAAGGGCCATATTCGATCTGATCCATCCAATTAATTTCTACCCTAATTGCAACTAACGGAACGATATGGAATTACAACTCGTTTTGATCATAGGATGATCTACAAACTTTGCAGTAAGTTACATCATGTACATATATCTTCTGTACTATTATTTATATTGTATCAAATATATAGATGTTCTTTGAATTAATACACATCAATTGTAAATTAATTGTTATATAAAAAAAAACAGAAGGAAGTAATATAATCGAATTAATAAACTTTTACATTAATTGTTATATAAAAAAAAAACAGCAAAAGAATACATACGAATTACATAATTGGATGATATCTAAAATACACAAAATAACTTTTTTTTAATAAATTGAATATAACGTCTTTACATATGATAACGAAACCGAGCCAATCGAACATTTCACGATTAATTAACGTGTACTACGTACAGGACAAAACTTAAACGCGACGGCTTTACATAGCGGACAAAAGTTCTTCATGCGCAGACAATGTCGGATACAATCTGAATGGTATTCATGCCCGCACTCGAGAGCTCCGATATTATTCTTATTATTTTCTTGGCACAAATCATCGAAACAAATCACACAAACATCACTCTCTTTCGGGCCGTCTCGATTATTATTAGCGATATCGGGACAAGAATTATTAATCTTTATTGAACAAGATACGTTGACCTCGTCGTCGTCGCGTAGTAATTGTTGTTCGACAAGTAGTAGTGCTGCGGAGGGATGTACGGCGAATACGGAATCAGAACATAGCCGTGGGCGGTGGGGAAAATACGGCCTGGAATGGCCCATGGCAGCAGCGGCGGCGGTGGCGGCGGGGGATGATGAAAGGCGGCGGCGCGCTGAAATTCTGCGGAGAAGTTGAATCTACGAAGGTGAGCCATTAAAGAAAAATATATAATTGTTTGTGAGAGAGAAAAATGAGAGAGTATGAAAGAAACCCTACATATGAAGCCCTTTTATAAGATGATGTTGTGATTTGTAGTTTGTACGCTATTTAATTAATTAATTAATTAAATACTTGCCATAAAAGAAAGTGTGGTGTAATTAATAACTGCTGATATGTAATATGAGTTTGAATCTCTGTCTTACCTTAATTATTCTTGCCTTAATGCTCGCTTTTTTAATTAGGAAAATTTTGTTGAGTACCGTTGTAATTCAGTTATATGATTATTTATTTATTTATTTTGTTTTTTTTTTTTTATATTACCGTGGTGATTCCGTAGAACTAGGGGTGGAAATCGGACGGAATGGGTCGGAAATGGCTTTTTTGGAGAAAAAAAATAGTATTTCGGAAGTAAAAAATGGGTTCCGATTTCATTTTCAAGAAAATCAAAATGCAAAAAAAATTCATTACAATTTCGGATATTTAAGAAATTAAGTTAGTTTTATGATCTCTTGTTTCAAATTTGGATATAACGAAAATTTTCACAATATTTTTATATCTTTTGTGAAATTTTGCAAGAAAACACAAGAAAATTCAAAAGAGAATTTTACAAAACGCAATAGATAAAAACGCCTGTAGGAACAACAAATTAAAAGATAGATTTTCGTATACGAAAAAATGCAACATAAAGTTTTTGATACCAATTAATCTTTTCTAAGGTTTTAATTTACTTGACCTTTCGGTATTTTGTATTTTTATATAAAATTTAACATAAGTTATATTATGGAATTACGAAAAATATCATAAAATCATATTATATATTTTGTAAAACCATAAAAATATTCCAAATTAAAATCGGATCGAAAATCGGAATTTTCGTTAATTTTATTTACCATTCCAATTCCATTCCAAATAAATTTGGAAGCATCGGAAATCGAAATGAAAAAAAGTACGGTTCCAAATTCGGATATTTTCGAATCGGAATTGCGGAACTCAAAAATTCATTCTGATTTCCACCCCGAAATATAAGATTAAATAAAAATATTTAAACTTCAGATCTATTTATATACAAGAAGTTACGACCACCGAGAGCATACATTCTTTTTTTGTTAAAAAATCCAAATACCACTAAATATCGCTCGATACTAGGATAAGAATTATTTTTTAGGGTGATTTGTACGATTTTCAGCACATTTAAGGGTAATCTGTGCGATTGTCAACATCAATCCTTTGGGGTAATTTATGCAATTTTCAACATATTATTCATTTAGGATAAATTACACCTACACCCCCTAAGGTATGTTAAAATAATTTTAAGGTCTATGTGGTATTGGTAATTATAGCCACACCCTTGAAACAATTACCGGAGCCAAGATTTCATGTCCTGGGGACCGATATACACTATATTCGTTTCCCGCGGACCGTTAATGCTACCATAGACAAAAATTTATAAATCTTATATAAAATAGGGTAAATCACGGCCAACCCCTTGAGGTATGGTCAAATTACGAAAAACCCCTCTTGCTTGGGTAATTACAGCCACCTAGTCCTTTAAATATTTTTACATAAAATTTATGTAATTCGGTTATTTGCGGAACCTAAATCGTATATTCATTTCGGTAAACAGTATGAAATGTTGGCGTACCGAAGTTTCAGTTCGCTTTTACCGATTTAACATCCCTAAATTTACCTCTGGAGGGATTTTTTCGTAAGATAATACATAGTTGAGGGGGTGGCTGTAATTACTCAACCAGGAGGGGGTTATCGTAAATCGACCATAACTCAGGGGTGGATGTCATTTGCCCTATAAAATAATAAGAATTTAAGAAATGTAAGGAGAGTCATGTCACCCCTAGCTCTATGTCGTCTCCACCACTGCCTGAAACTAATAGTCCGTTAGAACCGTAACGGAATAACTTATCCAATGCATTATTCTGTTATGCTTTCCAACAATGTTTCAGGGAGGTGATTGTAATTACCGATACCATATATAACTTAAAATTATTTTAGCATGCCTGTAGATGTAATTTACCCTTTTATTTTTAAAGAAAAAAGTACCAATTGAAACCTTTTGAAACCCAAAATTAGGTTTATGAGTATTCTCACACTTGGCCACATTTCCTCGTGAAACCAAGCACACAACCTTCTATGTGGGATTCGAACTCAGAACCTTTCATTTGGTCTGGCTTTGATACCATATAGGAGAAATAGAGTTGGAGAAAGAGAGAATTATGTCTCTCACGTATATTAATCATATATATAGTTACACGTAGGAAACCCTAACCTATTACACAAGGTAACCTATTATACAGGGTAACTATAATAAATAATAATAATAATAATAATAATATACGTAATATATATAATATATATGCTAATAAAACGGTATTGTGATATCGGCATGCATAAGTGGGTGCTCGTAAGTTGACGAATTCACTGAACTCTCTCACCCTAGAAATCTCTAAGTGGTTCTCAATAATCGAGTAGAGATCTCTATGGTATAGTTGTACACCATTTGTCTTTATGACCTAGTCATCACCGTGACTTCACTAGAGGACCAGCTGTATCGTGACCTGTTCCTGAGTTCCACCGAGGACCGCCCCAAGGGCCAGTGTTCGTGCATTCCGAATTCTAGTGGGAGGTATGTGCACTGTCGTCGGGGATTCGATCGCTAGAATAGTCTTGGATGTCCTGTGTGTTCTCATAGTTTGTAATCTTTAAGTCTCTGGCCAGAGCTGACTAAGTGATGATTAGAGAATTCGATTCTCTAAGTCATGCACGTACCGATTACAACACTTAGAATGATCGCACAAGTATTGAACTACTAAGGACGTCTCGATGAACCAATGCCTCTAGTTCAATCGTATTGTACGTTAACTATATCAAAAGGTTCTTGCAGGCACTTCATTTATATATGGGGAATCATGACAGAATGGATTTGTAGTTTGTACGCTATTTAATTAACACTTGCCATAAAAGAAAGTCTGGTGTAATTAAGTGCTGATATGTAATATGAGTTTGAATCTTTGTCTTACCTTATTCTTGCCTTAATGCTCTCCTTTTAAATTAGGAAATTTTTGTTGAGTACAGTTGTAGGTTATAAGATGACGGCCTCCTTGAATTTCTATGATTTTTTTTTTTTTTTTTTTTACCGTGGTGATTCCTTAGAACTAAGGGTGGAAATTAAATCGGACATAATGGATCATAAACAGTTTTTTTTGAAAAATTTCCAGTTTGTTGAGTTCCGATTTCATTTTCGAAAAAATCGGAATGTAAAAATTTATTCGAATTTCGGAATGTCTTGAAATTTCAGAAATTTTGGAAATTATGTTAGTTTATGATCTCTTGTTTAAAATTCGGATATAATGAAAAAAATCACAATATTTTTCTATCTTTTTTGGAATTTTGCAGGAAAAATGCAAGAAAATTCAAAAGAGAGTTTGACAAAACAACTTCCCTCTCTTCCGAGCCGTATCGAACATTATCGATATCAGGACAAGAATTAATAATCTTTATTTTCAGACACTTTGCAATCTGATCTTCGGACAAACCATCGCTACTATTATTATTATCGATCGCCGTCGTCCGATCGTCTAGTTCAACAATTCTTGGATGTTGATCGTTGTTGGATAAGTAGTGGTATGCTAGAGGGACAAAGGGGGAATAAGGGAGAAGAATACGGCCACCGGCGGCTGTGGTGGCAACACGGCCGGGAATTCGCCACAACCGCCGCTGAGTGTGATGATCTCCGGCGAAGTTGGCTTGACCAGGTTGTTGCTGATGATCCATTATTATTATTAAAAATAATTAAAAAAAAATTGTGTGAGTTGGAACATAATATTGTGTCCTATTTATAATATTTAAGATTGATTCTATGTTTTGTACGCTAAATAGAGTCTTTTGTATTAATGTAGTAGGAGTTTGAACCAAGCCCTGAGACATGGTCAAATTACGAAAACCCCCCTCATGTTTGGGTAATTATAACCACCCATCAACTATGAATTAATGTTCTTACACATCCACCCTTGCGGTTATTTAGTGGAATCTTCGAGATTATATGAAATATTATCACTTATTTACCCGTTTTATACTATGAACTCCACATTTTGAAGCATGATGATCATAATATGTGTTTTTTGTCTTGTATATATCAGATTGTAGTACATTAGAAACTATTTTTTTATACAAACCGAGTACAAACTAGAGCACATTCCACAAAATCTAGATGATTATGTTGAATTTGACACCATAAGGGTGGAGGTGTAAGAAAAAATCATAATTGAGGGGGTAGATGTAATTATCCAAACAAGAGGAGTTTTTTTGTAAATTGACCATACCTGAGGGTGTGGTTGTAATTTACCCTTCTTTATACTTAGCTGCTATTGTGCACGGACGTGGATACGGAAACACGGCGATACGCGGATATGAATATATGAATATACTTAGCTGCTCGTGTTCTTGGTCGTAGAGTTTTGCACTTTTGGGTGGACTCTCAAAGAAGACAGGGGAAATGTGGTATTAGTGAGAAAAGAAAATGCATATTTTTTTATTAGGGCTTTAATTTCTCTTAAAACATAAGAGCCGTGTCCCAACTTTTTTCAAATTGCGGACACTACCCGACACGGGTGTCCTACTTATAGCGAAATTACGACACAAGTGTTCAAAGCGTGTCCGAGTGTCTAGGTGTCGGATACGGGGACTCTGCACCTTCTAGAGGTGTCCGTGCAGCATAGCTTAACAGTGTAAAGAGCCCATTATATATATATATATATATATATATATATATATATATATATATATATATATATATATATATATATATATATATATTGAGAAATTCAAATCTTCTTACAAATTGGGAAAGAAGGGCAATGATAGAATTCGAATTTGAGTTCACCAAAACAGTCAGGCTCGGCTCGTTTATACCACTATTCTTGCCGTAATGCTCTCCTTTTAAATTAGGAAAATATTTTGGATACCGTTGTAATTTACACGATACCTCTTGAATCCTTATTAGATTTTTTTTTAGCTTTTGTTATTTTTTTAAAACGCAAGAAAATTAAAAGTAAGGTTGATTGACGGCCTGACTTAAATGCAATCGTATCCCCACTTCAGTTCACAAAAAAACCAATCACATGTGACGAAAATACCCTCCCTTATATTCAAAACAGATGTCGGGCTCCCCCACTTGTTCTTCCAACTCGCTTCTCTCTCCACAACGGCTCCCCACCCATGTCTTCTCAATACTTCCGACTGTTTCTCCCGCACCAAAACAGAACCAAAATCACTTTCTCTTCCCAAAAAATATAAGCAAATCGTCTCCGAGGCTTCCATTTCCGCAACTATTTTGTATTTTAAAGACGTGGTCGTTGAAACAATTTTCCTAACGATGCACAAAGTTACTGTTAGACACGGAAGCACTAGTAGAAAATGAATTTTTACTACGACCATTAACCGTAGTAAAATGTGTATCAAATTCGTAGTAAAAAGGCTTTTGCTACACATTTCCTACGAATTTCCCTCATAGCATATACGGACGTGACAAAAGCTTTGCTACGGTAAATGGCCGTAGCAAATACTAAAGTAAATCCTAGCATTTACTACGACTCCAAGATTGTCCCGTAACAAGAGATACCTTTTGTAACGACTTTTTACCGCAGCAGAAAAAATCGTAGTAAAAAGTCATTTTTCTACTAGTGACACTAGTAGAAATTTTGCTTAATACTACGAAGTATTCATACTCTGAGTTTCATTTTCAACTGCAATTTTTGCACCCATGGTAATATATACTAGGTTTTTTTCTTGTGGTATTCGTGATTGAAACACTAATATTATTAGGGTTGTCCTCGGTAAAATTGTTGTGTAAAATGATTTTCTGGTATGATAATGTGATTTTGTATTTGTTTGTATTTCAAAAATTCCAAACAGATCCAAAAATATCCCAAAAATAAATCCGAAAACGAATAACTCCACAAAAAATACAATTTTCCGCAAATTACGGTAAAAAAATCTTAATCGAAACCAATTATTCAGTTCCGAAAAAAAATCAAAAATTTTCCGAAAGGGCCATATTCGATCTGATCCGTCCAATTAAATCTACCCTAATTAACCGAACGATTATGGAATTACAACTCGTTTTCATCAGTTGTAAATTGGTGTCCAGAAAACAGAAGGAATTAATAAACTTTTACATTAATTGTTATATAAAAAAAAACAGCAAAAGAATACATACGAATTACATAATTGGATGATACCTAAAATACACAAAATAACTTTTTTTTAATAAATTGAATATAACGTCTTTACATATGATAACGAAACCGAGCCAATAGAACATCTCACGATTAATTAACATGAACTACGTACAGGACAACACTTAAACGCGACGGCTTTACAAAGTGGAAAAAAGTTCTTCATGCGCAGCCAATGTCGGATACAATCTGAATGGTATTCATGCCTATTAGAAGATATATCAATAATATTGTAATAATTGTGTATATTTATGTTTCCATATTAATGTAAATCAAATCCCATTGAAAGGGGATCACGGCTGTCAAGCCTTAGGATTAGTTGCATATCTACTGTACACTTTTGTATATATATGTGTTTCTCTGTTAATGAAAAATCATCACAATTTCTTCCATTAATTTATTCAACCATTATCATTATGCTTGCTCTATTATTTTAGATGGTATCAAGAGCAAAGTTCCTGGTGCCTCATTTTCCTTTGCAAAAATTCTGACAACCATTGAAACATCATGACAGGTGGTAACATTGATACTGCCACTCCAACCATAGATTCATCCAACCCTTTTTTCATTCATCACTCAGACCAACCTGGTCATATGCTTGTTCCTACGAAATTAAATGGCTCCAACTATCCATCATGGAGTAAATCCATGATTCATGCTCTCACAGCAAAAAATAAAATTAGTTTCATTGATGGATCTATAGAACCACCTTCCGAAAAAAATCCAACTCAATATGCCCTTTGGAATCAGTGCAATAGCATGATTCTATCATGGTTCACTCACTCAGTAGAACCAGATCTAGCCAAAGGAGTCGTTCATGCCAAAACGGCTCGCCAAGTGTGGGAAGATTTCAGAGATCAATTTTCACAAAAAAATGCACCAGCGATCTACCAGATTCAAAAGTCATTGTCGTCACTTTCACAAGGCACAATGTCGATTTCAACATATTTCACAAAACTCAAGAGCCTTTGGGACGAATTAGATACATATCGGCCTATCCCTGCTTGTAATCAGATGAATGCACACGTCGAACAAAGAGATGAAGATCGGATGATGCAATTTCTAATGGGCCTCAGTGATACTTACAATGGTGTTCGTAGTAATATTCTTATGATTACTCCACTGCCCAATGTTCGTCAGGCCTATTCCCTTGTTATTCAAGATGAAATGCAACGACAAATGACTTCGGAGACAACTGAAAACTTCTCTATTGCTGCAGCGATTCAACATCGTTCAAACAACTTCTCAAATAAATCAAAGGGCAGGCATTGTGAGCACTGTAACAGAGAAGGTCACACAATTGAAAATTGCCGAACCCTAAAATTTTATTGCAAACATTGCGATAGGAAAGGACATACGGAAGATCGTTGCAAATACAAGAATGGGACTTGGACATCCGACAACTCCGATAATAGACGAGGCCAGTCACAACAGCAACGTGGAATTCGTAAGAATTTTTTTCCTGCTGCAAATGCAACAGACACCTTTCAATCTGCAAATGGAGTCTCTCAACAAGAAAATAATAAAACAAGTCACCTTCCCGATGCGGTCAATCCATTACAGGGATTTTCCACGGAACAACTTCAACAACTTTCCCGTGCTTTATCACTCATCAGCCCGAATCAGAGTACCGGTAATAAAAGCATTTACGCAAATGCAGCAGGTTTGTCCCAATTTTATAATTCTTCGGTTAATTATATATTTACAAAGCCTTGGATTTTAGATAGCGGGGCCACCGATCATATCACGTGTGATTCCACACTTTTCAGTAGAACACAATCATCATCAATACCGACTGTTAATTTACCCACCGGATCTACAGCCCCAATCACCTCTACTGGCACAATATCTTTCAATTCTGATATTACATTAGATAACGTTTTATGTGTTCCGAATTTTCAATTAAATTTAATTTCTATAAGCAAACTTACCGCTGCTCTAAAATGTTGTGCAATTTTTTTTCCTACTTTTTGTGTTCTACAGGACTTGGCTACGGGGAAGATGATTGGCTCGAGTAAACAACATGGTGGTCTCTATTACATGCCCCCATTACAAAGAACACCAACCTGCCATCAAACCTCTCAAACTCCTAATCTATGGCATATGCGTCTTGGATACCCGTCTCCATTTCGCCTTAAGTTAGCTTCTTCGTTATTTTCAAACTCAAATAAAATTTCTTTTGACAATCATTGTTCTGTTTGTCCCATGGCAAAACAAACAAGACTTCCATTTCCATTGAGTTCCATATCAACTTATGCTGCATTTGATTTATTACATTGTGACATTTGGGGTCCTCATAAAATTCCCACACATTCGGGAGCACGTTTTTTTCTTACTATTGTAGATGATTTTACAAGATGCACATGGATATTTCTTATGCAACACAAGTCCGAAACACAAAGCATTTTAAAATCTTTTATTAATTTTGTTCATACCCAATTTCATGCTTTTGTGAAGGCCGTCAGAGTAGACAATGGCTCAGAATTCTTATCTTTGAGAAATTTTTTTCAAACTCATGGTATTGAACATCAACGTACATGTGTTTACACCCCACAACAAAATGGGGTAGTTGAAAGAAAGCATCGCCACATTCTCACTGTTGCACGAGCACTAATTTTTCAATCTAAATTACCTTTGCATTTTTGGGGAGAATGCGTTTTAACCGCAGTTTATCTCATTAATAGACTACCATCACCATTGCTTTCAAACAAAACACCTTTTGAAATGTTATACAGTCGACCACCATCACTTGATCACATAAAAGTTTTTGGGTGTCTATGTTATGCAACTGTTGTTCACCCACTACATAAATTTGAATCTCGCGCCAAGCGTTGCGTTTTTATAGGATATCCAACTGGTCAAAAAGGATACAAATTATATGACATCGAAACTGGAAATTTTTTTGTGAGTCGTGATGTCAAGTTTCATGAAACTACATTTCCATTTTCTAATTTAACACAGCCACATTCTGATTTCGTAGTCCCTAATTTTATCTTTGAGACTACAGACACACGAGATATTACATCACTACCTCCTTCTAATAATCACTTTGATCAGCCCGACCCGATTGAAACAACCAATACACACGAAACCATGTCTCCCACATCTCCCGCACATACACAAATCTCACCCACTGAAACGGAAACTTTACCTTTATCTTCAAATATTCCCTCTGACCTTACTATAATTCCGCCTCTGAGACAATCAACTCGAACCAAACAACCTCCAGTGTGGCATAGAGACTTCTTAATGCAAACTCAAGCTAACCAATCTTCCTCGTCACCAAGTTCTGCAACAGGTACACGATACCCACTTTCTCATTTTCTTTCATATACACGGTTTTCACCTTCACATTCTACTTTTTTAGCTACCATAACAGCGCACTCCGAGCCCAAAACTTATGATCAGGCTATTCGCGATCCACATTGGCAACAAGCCATGAATACTGAATTGGAAGCATTACAACTAAACAACACGTGGAGTTTGGTTCCTAGGCCCATCGGTCACAAACCAATCGGTTGCAAATGGGTCTATAAAATCAAATATAGATCCGATGGAACAATTGAACGTTACAAGGCTCGTCTTGTTGCTAAAGGGTACAATCAAGTGGAGGGAATTGACTACCAGGAAACATTTTCACCAACAGCAAAACTTACTACCCTTAGATGTCTTCTTACTGTCGCAGCTGCTCGTCAATGGTTCATTCACCAATTGGATGTCCAAAATGCATTTCTCCATGGTGATTTACATGAAGTTGTCTACATGGAACCTCCACCAGGTCTTCGCCGACAGGGGGAGAACACTGTATGTCGGCTCAATAAGTCTCTCTACGGACTTAAGCAAGCATCAAGAAATTGGTTTTCTACATTTTCAGATACTATTCGGAAGGCCGGCTATCAACAATCTAAAGCCGATTACTCACTATTTACCAAAGATCAAGGTACTTCTTTTACAGCAATTCTTATATATGTTGATGATATACTCCTTACAGGAAATGACCTACATGAAATGGAACGACTTAAAAAATTTCTTCTGAAGCGCTTTCGTATCAAAGACCTTGGAAACTTGAAATATTTTTTAGGAATTGAATTTTCACGCTCCAAGAAGGGTATTTACATGTCCCAAAGAAAATATGCGCTAGATATTCTACAAGACTCAGGGCTTTCAGGCGCACGTCCGGATAATTTTCCGATGGAGCAAAATTTGAAACTCACTACCACTGACGGAGCATTGCTAAATGATCCAACAAAGTACAGAAGACTGGTTGGCAGATTAATTTATCTAACAGTGACGAGACCTGATATAGTCTACGCAGTTCGTACATTGAGCCAATTCATGCAAGAACCTAGAATACCACATTGGAATGCTGCCAATCGAATTCTCAAGTACATTAAAGGTACACCCGGTCAAGGATTATTACTTCCTTCAGATAACAAGTTAGATTTAAAAGCATTTTGCGATTCAGATTGGGGTGGTTGTCGCACCACACGAAGATCAGTTACAGGATATTGCATCTTTCTTGGAAATTCTCTAATTTCATGGAAATCAAAGAAGCAGGCCAATGTTTCAAGGTCGTCGGCGGAGGCTGAGTATCGAGCCATGGCTAACACGTGTTTGGAACTAACGTGGTTACGATATATACTACACAACTTGAAAGTTCCTCAAACGACTCCTACTCCATTATTCTGCGACAATCAAGCAGCTCTTCATATTGCGGCGAACCCGGTTTTCCATGAACGTACAAAACACATTGAAATAGACTGTCACATAGTACGGGAGAAAATACAAGCAGGAGCCCTCAATCCCTCTTTCGTGCCCTCACATTTGCAACTAGCTGATGTATTTACGAAGGCCTTGGGAAAGGATCAGTTTCTGAATCTACGTAGCAAGTTGGGACTTATTAACATTCACTCTCCAACTTGAGGGGGAGTATTAGAAGATATATCAATAATATTGTAATAATTGTGTATATTTATGTTTCCATATTAATGTAAATCAAATCCCATTGAAAGGGGATCACGGCTGTCAAGCCTTAGGATTAGTTGCATATCTACTGTACACTTTTGTATATATATGTGTTTCTCTGTTAATGAAAAATCATCACAATTTCTTCCATTAATTTATTCAACCATTATCATTATGCTTGCTCTATTATTTTAGAATGCCCGCACTCGAGAGCTCCGATATTATTATTATTATTTTCTTGGCACAAATCATCGAAACAAATCACACAAACATCACTCTCTTTCGGGCCGTCTCGATTATTATTAGCGATATCGGGACAAGAATTATTAATCTTTATTTTCAGACACTTTGTGATCTGATCATCGGACAAACCGGCGGCGGTCCGATCTGCATGTTCTTGCTGACGTGGATGATGATGAATATTACTTGCATTGAAAATCAGGGTTTGGTCTTCTTCTTGAACATGATACGTTGACCTCGTCGTCGTCGCGTAGTAATTGTTGTTCGACATATAGTAGTTCTGCGGAGGGATGACGGCGAATACGGAATCAGAACATAGCCGTGGGCGGTGGGGAAGATACGGCCTGGAATGGGGAACATAGCCGTGGGCAGCGGCGGTGGCGGTGGCGGGGGATGATGAAAGGCGGCGGCGCGCTGAAATTCTCCGGCGAAGGTGAGCCATTAAAGAAAAATTTATAATTGTGCTTGTGAGAGAGAAAAACGAGAACAGTATTCAAGAAACCCTACATATGAAGCCCTTTTATAAGATGTTGTTGTGATTTGTAGTTTGTACGCTATTTAATTAATTAATTAATTACTTGCCATAAAAGAAAGTGTGGTGTAATTAATAACTGCTGATATGTAATATGAATTTGAATCTCTGTCTTACCTTAATTATTCTTGCCTTAATGCTCTCTTTTTAAATTAGGAAATTTTTGTTGAGTACCGACCGTTGTAAGTTATAAGATGTCCGCCTCTTCGAAATTTTGGTGATTCAAATTTTCATTTTTTTAGAAAGTAAAAAATGGCGTTTGATTTCATTTTCAAGAAAATCGGAATGAAAAAATTCATTACAATTTCGTAGGTTAGTTTATGATCTCTTGTTACAAATTTGGATATAACAAATATTTAAAAAAGGGCATATTACAAATAAGCCCATCAGTGGGAACTTATTCATAAAGAGATCCAGACAATATTCTCCTTTACCAATAAGTCCACACATGGTCCAGATTTATGTAAAGGACTAAAATAACCCCTCTTACTTTAATATGCTCCAATTTCATCCTTAACTTACTTTAACTTCAATTTGACCCCAACTTTCACAAATTATTCAATTTTGACCCAAAACTTTTTTTTTTCACAAATTTTTTTTTTTTCAAAAACTTTTTTTTCCCGCCGGATTCCGGCGTTGACCGGCGGTCAACGCCGGTCTCCGGCGTTGACTTTTTAATTTTTTTTTTTTTTTTTCTTCCGGATTCCGGCGGTCAACGCCGGTCTCCGGCGTTGACTTTTTTTTTTTTTTTTTTTTTTTTTTATTTTTTTTTTTTTCTGTAACTTTTTTTTCCGTTTAAACAGCAATATTGCTGTGAATGACAGTAATATTAACTATATTACTGTTAAACACAGTAAAATTAACTAAACTATAGTTTAACACATTGATATTGCTATATTAATCTCTAGCACATTAATATTAACACAACAAAATTCATTATTATTGTATAATAAAGTAATATTACTATGTTATCCGTTCAACAAATGTAAACAAAATAAAAAAAACCAAAAGAATTAATATTA